TTCCTTAAAGAGGTAGGGTTTAAAGTGGTCTCTGGAAGAGAGTTGCCTTTTATTGTCCCCAACACAAGGTGCACCTGTGTAATGATCATTCTGTTTAATAAGCTTTGTTGATATGCCACTCTTGTCAGGTGGATGGATTATCATGGCAAAGGAGAAAATGCTCACTAACACGGGTGTAAACAAATTTGTGCACAACATTTGCGGGAAAAAAACGTTTTTGTCCATATCTTTTATTTCAGCTCATGAAACAGGGGACCAACAGTTTACATGTTGTGGTTGTATTTTTGATTCAGTGTATATGGACAGAGAGGACCTGATCCTAGATCAGCACTCCACTCTGGACAGTGAACATAAGGATTTCGGCTGAGACATCAAAGACGACTAGCTAGCAGCCATCCAACCAGTCCTGGAGAGACTCAGTGTTCCTACTCTGAGCCCTACAGGCAGCCAATAACACATCACGTGTGCCAGCATGTTTGCTGTAAGCGTTCACTCTCCAATAACAGGCCTGGATAGGCTGCAGTGCACGCACAGTAACATAGCTTGACATTAAGCCAGACATGTTTTTCTCATTGATGAAGAATGTAATTGAATGTTTATGATGCTCTAGTTTTCCATGTCTTCTGTCCTTATGTTTCCTGCAAATTACACAATGAGACGTTTTCCATCATATTTTATTTAATATATTCTAGCCTCTTAGCAGCGTGGCCCATTAGATTGTAATAGGGATTTCACAATGTGTAAAGTTGTGTGTAGACTACGTATTGTCATAATTTAGTGCACTAACATTTCAATTGCATTTCTAGTTGAAAACAGTATTGGGGGGGTGGTTTCCCCGGACACAGATTAAGCCTAAATCTGGACTGAAAAAGCTTTTTAAATGGAGATTCTCCATTGATCTTGCTTTTTTTTATTGCAGGACTGTTTCCGGGAAACAGGCCCATAGTCGTTCGACTGACCCCTACATGACAGTGGCCTGATCTAGTTAATTCCCTCTCTGTTGCTCTTCTCCTGTGTAGATCCGCTGGGGGCCTATGCCTCTGTAAACCGGCACCACTGTACTGCTAACAGTATATCTTCCTTCACTGTCTCTGTTCCCTTACTGACCTCTGTAACCGGTACAACTGTACTGCTAACAGTATAGCTTCCTTCACTGTCTCTGTTTCCTACCACTGCTAGAACTAGTGATCCTCTGCTTACTATCCAGCTGCACCACCACCACCTACCCACTGGGCACAGACGTCAGTTCAACGTCTAGTTTTGATTTACATTTGGTTGAGTGTCAACTAACGTTGAAATCAACAAAAAATGTCACCATGTCATTGGATTTAGGTTAAAAAGTTGGATGAAGAAATATGTAATTCCCTTGCGTTAGTGACGTTTTTTCTAATCCAATCCGTTTTCCCACGTTGATTCAACGTCATCACATAGATTCTTTGGGTTGAAATGAAAACTTTGAAACCAGTAGTTGGTAGAAACCTTTTTGGGTTCAAAAGTAGTTTCGTCTGCACGTGTTGGGTAGCAATTATGACACGACTTCTCTATTCTCTCTCTCTATCAGTCTCTCTCTCTCTCTCTCTCTCTCTCTATCTGCTCTATCTTCCTCTCGATCTCTCTCTCATCTCTCTCTTCTCTCTCTCCTCTCTCTCTCTCTCTCCTCTACTACGCTTCTCCTCTCTCTCTCCTCTGCAGGATTCAGCCCCTGTCTGAGGCTCTGGGGGACCTCTACAAGCAGTTCAACTCTCTGAAGGATGAGCTGAGAAGGCTCAGCTCCAAGTTCGATAGGGTGGAGGGCTTCGTAGACGACCTGCAGGCTGGGAAACTCCCCCGGCCCCCTGTGTGGACTCCTCAATGCCCCATACGGAGGGTCACTCCCTGGCCTCCGCTGAGGATGCCACTGAGGGCACCGTTAAGGGGAGAGGTGAGGGCACCACCAAGGGCACAGATGAGGGTACAGATGAGGAATCCAGAGCGGGGAAACGGCACGGGTTCAGGGTCCACGGGGTCTAGAGGAAGGAGGGTCCCTAAGCCTTAATCAGATGATTGACAGGTGTACTGTACAACGATAAACGATAAACTGTCATCTAGTGTGGATGATCGTCAATGTTTAATAGTTATGAATAGTTTATCATTATAGTTATCATTATATCTATCATCCTTGGTGTGGACAGCCCTTCAGGACTGATATAGTCTCAACTACATCATCACTCCTCTCTGAACCAGATCAACACAGAACTGATGAGAGCTTTGTACTGACGACAGAGCTACTGTACACTAACTATCAATAACATGATCATTTGTGATTGATTTGATATTGATGGTGTGTGTTGATGATGTGTGATGGGCATAATGTATTCTAGAAATGTTCTAATCATTGGATTCATCATCTCATATTATAATAAGTGTTTCCATACACAATATTTTTTACGTATAGTATCTGTAAATACTGCAAATACAGAGTAAGATACTACAGGACTACTTTACAAATATACTGTTGAAATAAAACTCTTTCTCCCTGCTGGCAAGTATACACATGCACTATCCATGCCTCAATTGTCTCAAGGCTTGAAAATCCTTCTTTAACCTGTCTCCTCCCCTTCATCTACACTGATTGAAGTGGATCTAACAGGTGACATCAATAAGAGATCATAGCTTTAACCTGGATTCACCTGGTCAGTCTATGGCATGTAAAGAGCATATGTTCCTAATGATTTGTCCACTCAGTATATTCTGTTGAAATACAGCCCTTTGAGGCACAACGTGGCAGCATATTACAATATGATTCTCTCTTCTCTTTCCACCTGCTGGCAAAGATATTAATGACTAAAATGTTATTGTACATCTTAGCAAGATGCAAGTTTATAACACTATTGAATATTATAACTATAAACTATGAATATATTGAATATATCATGCTATTGTACTGTTGTTTTAATTCATCATACAGAGAAATATGATAGTACAAGAAAATTAGCCAGGAAATAATGTGATCCCCAATCACATGCTTTCTTTACAAATGAACAGTTTTTTTTAGATAGATATGGATGATTATTAAACAGGTACTTTTAGAATTATCTTAAAATACAATCATATCACACTAATGAAAGGTTCTCAATAATGTGAAGTTCTAATATAAAGTAAACCTCTGGTCCATCTCTGGTTATTCATTAACATTACAGTAAACCTGCCCTACATCCTGGATAGTTGATCAACAATTTCTGGATCTGGACAAAAGTCAGAGAGCAGGCTGCTCTATTTGAGTTCAGTTAAATTCCCCGTCATTTCGTGCTGCTAACACTGATGCTCATCAACATGCTCAAATACAAACACTTGTTCTTTAGAATGCTCTTTATTGAATATCCACAATACAGCAAAGCTATAACAATTCCTCTATTATAAATCTGCAAAGCAACCAATTTCAAATATACAGTCTACTTATCAAATAGCCTATGATATCAGTATTAATAGCTATTTCTCTCTTTTATGGAACAGAATGTATATATGCAGATAAACCTTCTAATTCATTAACAATAACTTGAAAAGCTATGTAGAATATCAAATTGACATTACAGTGGTTCTCAAACTAGTAAGTGCTGCATTCAGACTTTTTGATGCCTTTCTCAGCGAACTTGGAGCCCGCGGTGACTTTACATGAGAAACACTTTGTCCTGGTTCCATTCTGACGTGTCAACGGTCAGACAGCTGCTGAGTCGGAACGTCTTGTCGGCTTGCGGCACGGGGCCACTCGTAGCGATGCCGCTGGTGACCGGATTCCCTCCCGCTGTCCAGCTCACATCAGCGTAGCCCATGGCCATCTGACTGGCCAGACCGACCAGGGTGACTTTGCTGGACTTCAACTCACCACTGGACGGAGGGAGGATGGTCAAGACTGGAGGAGGGAGGGTAGAGCCTGGACCAATGGAATGAGCAGAAGAAACATTACACAAAATCATTAAATATGTTAGTAGAATGAAACAGGGTTGTGTGCATCATACTGTAGAATAAAAAATTCAACATTTTCTCAAAGACTACAATCAATTATATTTTGGCCTCATAAATTAAAAGGCACTAAAACCATGTAATTCTATTGTTACATGTTGCACATTATGTCTGTTTGTAGCTTGCCTTATTTTGAAACTTTCTAAGGAACTCCCAATGTGTGACTTTGCGGAGGTAAAGCAGATTTCTGTGCAAGTGAATAATGAGTTTAGATCTCTAACTTTAAAACATAATCAAGTAGTCAGATGTGCTTAAAATCAAATGTATATCCTCCTACTTATTCAACCAGCAAACAGAATTACCAACTGTAATATAGTAGCCTACAATGTAATTAATCATGTAGCAACATTGTCTGTAACTAACATATACATGGTTTTATCATTATTTAATATAACGTGGGACCAACATTTTAAAGGTTGATGATACAACTTTATGTATCCTTCACATTCAATTCTACCTCTGACTAAATAAATTATTATTGTATGAGACATTATAAATGAGTAGAGTTGTCAAGTGACAGGAGTAGCCTACATGGTCAAATAGTGCAATACATTTTTTAAGTTTAAATGAGAAATCAACAAATACAGATATACTGTAGTTATGAAGTTGTCACATTGTGTCCATGACCCTTGATAATCAGTACACAAAGTAGGTTATTTACATTAAATAATGATGAAGTAAGAATATCATGTTACATACTTTATCTCTATAAACTATGATGTATTACAAAAAAACCTTGAAAACAAAAATATAAGGTTAAAATAAAGGGTACTCACCACTGATAATGAGCTTGGTTCCTGGTCCGAATAGCACAGTGATTCAGTTTGTGTACACGGCCGTACAAAAACCTCCACACTCTCCCTACTGAGTGGACAGGAACTGAAACATCCCATTTAGACAGAGCTTCACTCTCACTACTGAGAGGACAGGAACTGAAACATCCCATTCAGATACAGCTTCACTCTCCCTACTGAGAGGACAGGAACTGAAACATCCCATTTAGACAGAGCTTCACTCTCCCTACTGAGAGGACAGGAACTGAAACATCCCATTCAGATACAGCTTCACTCTCCCTACTGAGAGGACAGGAACTGAAACATCCCATTTAGACAGAGCTTCACTCTCCCTACTGAGAGGACTGGAACTGAAACATCCCATTCAGATACATCTTCACTCTCTCTTCAAACATCTCAGGCTTTTCTAGAGTTTCTCTTTATGAAGTAACAGTATATAGTATAGCATCATATTCTGCTGTTGGTGTCTGGTCCTTTTGAATCCATGAGTTAAAGGACTATCTATATGATATTGTATTGACTTGATGATGATGATGATGATGGTGATGATGGATGATGAGTATGATGATGATGATGATGTTGTTGTTGTTGTTGTTGATGATGATATAATGATGATGATGGTGGTGGTGATGATGATGATGATGATGATGATGATGGTGGTGGTGGTGATGATGGTGGTGATGATGATGATGTTGATATAATGATGATTATGATGGTGGTGATGATGATGATGATGGTGATATAATGATGATGATGATGGTGATATAATGATGATGATGATAGTGATGATGATGATGATGATGATGATGGTGATATAATGATGATTATGATGGTGGTGATGATCATGATGGTGATATAATGATGATGATGATGGTTGTGGTGGTGGTGGTGATGATGATGGTGATATAATGATGATGATGATGGTGATATAATGATGATGATGATAGTGATGATGATGGTGATGATGATGATGACATAATGGTGATGATCACACCACGAGAGCCAACATCAGTTTCCTTTCAGACAGTCTTCTTATGCTCTTTTTGACATGTAGAGATGGAAGGTTCTTCCATTTCCAGATCTCCCATTGTGTCATATATTTATTGTTATAATGATCCCTGATCAACTTCAACTGCTGTTTCTTAGAGTTCACCCCTCTGCCACGCATAAAGCAGAAGTGAGTGTATTTGGTGAGGAGGTTTTTGTCATGGTGTATATCACTGTGATACGTGCTCTTTAATAATAATAATAATATGCCATTTAGCAGACGCTTTTATCCAAAGCGACTTACAGTCATGCGTGCATACATTTTTGTGTATGGGTGGTCCCGGGGATCGAACCCACTACCTTGGCGTTACAAGCGCCGTGCTCTACCAGCTGAGCTACAGAGGACAGAGCTTTAACAGAGCTGTCCCATGTGTTACAGTAATACACTGCTGAGTCCTCCTCCTCCACATTATTGATTATAAACTGATAATCCTTATCAGATGTGGCTTTAGATGTGAAACGATCAGAGGAGAAACCAGATCCATATTGATCAGGAGAGGCATGAGTATGGTAAAACCTTAACACATACTGAGGAGCTCCTCCTGGAACCTGTTTATACCAGATTACATAATTTCCTTCCCCTTTGGTAATGTCACAGTGAAAAGTGGCAGTCCCCTTTGTACTGACAGTCAGTACTGAAGGTGTCTGTATCACCGCTTTCTGGCAAATGACATCTGTGGGAATTAAACACACAATTTAAGTCATTTTATCATACATGAATGTACAACTTCTATTGAATTCTTTAGATTCAGATTGAACATGCATTAAATTCCTTACATGTTAGAGCAGTGATGAGAGTGCAGAGTGTCCCCAACATGTTGTCAGTGAGTGGTGTGAACGGCCCTTACTGTCCAGCTGAGAGATGAGCAGGGTTGGAGTGTGAGGAGAGGAGAGGCTGCAGGACTCACCTATAAGGAGACATACAGAGAGGACCAGAGGGAGGGGCCTCTACAGTTAACCTACCACCAATCCAGGGAGGACCAGATGGAGGGGCCTCTGCAGGTAACCAATCACCAGCTACTTTTATTGTTGATTTACATATCTGGGGGTTCACAGACTTCCACAGTTATAATAATAATATTATTATTATAATGAACAAAAATACAAATACAACATGCAACAATTTAAAAGATTTTACTGAGTTACAGTTCATATAAAGAAATCAGTCAATTGAAATAAATTAGGCCCTAATCTACGAATTCCACATGACTGGGCAAAGGTGCAGCCTTGGGTGGGCGTTGGAGGGCATAGGCCCATCCACTTGACTGCCAGGCCCACCCACTGGTGACCCAGCCCCAGCCAATCAGAATGAGTTTTTCCCCCAGCCCCCCACCTCAGATCAGGTCTAGAACGATGAGTTACTCAGTCCCCCCCCCCCCCCCCCCCCCCCCCCCCCCCCCCCCCCCCCCCCCCCCCCCCCCCCCTCAGATCAGGTCTAGAACGATGAGTTACTCAGTCCCCCCCTCAGAGCAGGTCTAGAACGATGAGTTACACAGTCCCCCCCCCCCCCCCCCCCCCCCTCAGAGCCGGTCTAGAAGAATGAGTTACTCAGTCCCCCCTCAGTGCAGGTCTATTAAGTGCCTGTGGAAGCCTTTATAGTGTACTCCTTTTGACCAGAGCCCATTTGTCCTTTCAAGTGCCCTTGTTAAAAGTAGTGCACTATAAAGGGAATAAAGAGCCATTTGGGCTCTGGTCAGCTGCAACCTCAGTTTCAGTTCACTTCTCCGGGCACCTGCAGATCTCCCCTCCTCTCCCCTCCTCCTCCCCACCCCTCCCACACAGTTCTGAGAGGAGATAAAATAACCTCTTCATTTACATGAAGCTATAAATAAGGAGATGAGGAGGGGGAGGAGGAGGGGAGGGGAATCAGGTGTGTCCTGGGGGAGAAAGAAAGAGAGCAACACATCACTGCCTGTAACTCAGTGTCAGAGCTAGAACACGTCCCTGGTGAATGACTCTGATAACTAGAGATAGTAGACATGAAACCATCATGTTTTACTGGGGTGGGATGTAAGGATGGCCCAGCGAGACTAGGTGGGACTGAAACCAGTGGTCTGACTAGCACCAACTGGGCCTGCTGTAGAGGTAGCTTAGTGGTTAAGAGCGTTGTGCCAGTAACCGAAAGGTCGCTGGTTCTAAACTCCGAGCCGACTAGGTGAAAAATCTGTCAATGTGCTCTTGAGCAAGGCACTTAACCCTAATTGCTCCTGTAAGTCGCTCTGGATAAGAGCGTCTGCTAAATGACTAAAATGTAAAATGTAAAAATGTATCCTCTGTCATTAGTGGTGGTCTTCCTCTGGTGGACTTTGATAGAACTGCAGCCTTTATTCTGATCACTGATGCACAATGTAATAATAATAATATGCCATTTAGCAGACGCTTTTATCCAAAGCGACTTACAGTCATGCGTGCATACATTTTTGTGTATGGGTGGTCCCGGGGATCGAACCCACTACCTTGGCGTTACAAGCGCCGTGCTCTACCAGCTGAGCTATGTAAAACATAACATGACACTGAGTGTACAAAACATTAAGAACACCTTCCTAATATTGAGTTGAATCTTACAAGGTCATAGTTCTTATTCATACTGAAAATGATACTGAGTCCAACATCTAATGTTAAAAATAGAGAACAGTTTAAACCATTTACTAATTGCAGCCAGAGGCGCAACTTGTCCCCCCCCACATTCTGAAATTGCATTATTGTCCGCCCAGTTTTATCATTGCAATGTGATACAAAAAGCCGGGAGAGTTGAGCATAGTTCAGTGTGTATGTGTTGCGCTCTTTCACCGAGTTATAAAAGAAAGCAGAGCAGAAACTGGCTACTATTGAGTTGACTGATGTAGCTGGCAAGGTAACTGCTGTCAACTGAACAGAAAAAACTAAACTAGTGTTTATTCGCAGTGCTGAGCTGGTATTGTAACCGACATGTTTCATCCCCTCTCCACTGAAGTGAATGAATAAGCTAAGCTAGCTAGTAGCTACCATAGCCAGGTCAGTTCTAGCCGTCAGATAGCGATATGAGGTGGCTATTATTACAATCAAACAGCTGTTTTTTGTATGAAATGTTTTGTAGCCTTTGTTTTGTCTCGTTTCAGAAGTAATTGAACTTGGCTAACTTTCGCCAGGTGATGTACGGTTAGAGAAAGAGCTGGCCAAAAGTTGGCTAACATTAGCTATTATTTTTGCCTCAATCACACTAGACCTGAATCAAACGATGAAACCATCGGCCAAACGATTGAAGATTGATATTCTGACGTTTTTTTCAGTGCAACGTGAGTTGTATTAGTCAGTATGGCAATATTAAGTTATTGATCTGTCAGTTTCCCTAGCTAATTCCCTACTTTTCAGACTGACACAGTAACAAACAACTCTAACATTACATACTTTACTGTCATGGTGCACAGTAGAGGTCTGCACGGGACCGATTTCTTCATCCCGCTCCTGCCCGCATCCTGCTCCCTCCCGCACCTACTGGCGTTCGTCTGACTCCCACATGCTACCGCAAGAACTGGTCCCAAACCCAACCACATTCCTGCAATGTTATTTTAGGTGTATGTGATGCAGCTCACTTGCCAGCCATGGTCCGAGCAATTTTGCACCCTATAAGCAATATCAAATGCGCAAAAATAACTTAAGAAATAGGTTACCAGAGATTCTCACATGGCCCGTACATTGTATTACTGGGCTATATCAGTCAATATGCTAGATGTAGTTTCAAGAGAGCAGAGTTGGATAGACTTGCACTTTCTCTTGAGCTATTTGTATAGCCTACCTTTTAGGAGTGGGAAGATTTTCAGACCGAGAAATATGGGTGATCAATATTTATACCGCAGGAGGCTGCTGAGGGGAGAACAGCTCATAATAATGGCCAGAATGGAGCAAATGGAATGGTATCAAACAACTGGAAACCATGTGTTTGATGTATTTGACACCATTCCACTTATTCCGCTCCAGTCATTACCACGAGCACGTCCTCCCCAATTAAGGTGCCACCAACCTCCTGTGATTTATACGTATTTCTAGGCAATGTAGTAAACTATAGTCTAATCATAGGCCTATTAGGAAATACATTTCATTGGAAAGATAACTGCTCCCTGCTTCTCTGCCCATGCATAGGCTATAGCCTACAATATTTAATTGAGACCACACGCGCACCTGATCTCGTAGGTATGGCTACTGAACTGGAAGCAGCAAGAATGATGACAGCAACACTTGCTACGTTTGACATCTTTTAGGAGGATGATTTGCAGGCAAAGAAATGGGCAATCAATACTTTGAAAATAAAAAGACGCAACGCTCGCTCACCATAGTAGCCTAACCTATGGTCACCATGGTAACTTAACCTATGGTCACCATCAGTGGCAACCTGTCAGCCTCACCTGTTTTGAGCCCCACATGTTTAGCAAAAAATAAAATAAAATGAAAAATAAAATACAACATTTTGCCTGTTTTGCATGTTATTTGGCGTTAATATTAATACGTGTCACATATCAGTGTGCAAACAATGTGAAATATACATATCTCATTGAGTTAATAAAGTCGCATACAAACATGGTCTCTTTTTTGTTTTCTTGAGTAAGGCAGCTCCAAAATACAGGTGTTTCAGCCTAGCTCAGTGCTTTCTGTGATGGTGGGGCAAGCCAGCAGAAAATATAGCGCGTTGAGCCGTGATTGGCTCAGTGTTTTGTCACTCATGGGGACATTACATCACCACCAAGTCTAAGGGTAGAACTCGAAAATTCTAGCCCCTTGGGTGCTGCCATAGAGTTACATTAGAAGTGCCCATCCAAGAAGGCTCAAGGTCATTGGCCACAGATAAAATGACATCAAATCACATTATATCTACAGTAGCTTTGATTGGACTGATCATGTCAACATCATACTTTCAGAATCTTAGCTAGCAGTCATGAATCAAGTTGACAATCTACTGGCAAATCCTTTTTAATCCTTGTCATATGAAGAGAAATAATGAAGAGAAATTATGGATAAAACGTATCGGTGCTCATCAGCCATTGGACATAAACATTACACAACAAGTTGGAAATCGCACATTCAACAACGAGTGGTTTGGAAGGAATCAATGTCTAACTGCAAGCATTGCAAAGCAATTATTAGCTTGCTGTTCAGTGGAGGGGCTGTGTGGTACCAAGTCTAAGATTAAGGGTCTCTTTTCCTAGTTTAAAATTATAAACATTCAACATTGGCCATGCTGTCAATGAAGCATGATTTGTGCCACGTACAAAACAACTGTTAACTCGGAGCTGCAAAATCTGACTTTAGTGAGTTCAAGACAACTGGGAACTTGGGAAAAACGAACTACGACTGGGAAAATACATTTTGAACTTTCATCCAACTCGCCTCTTTCTAGAGCTACGACCTGCTGATTTTGTACGTTTGCCCACTGACAAAAGAATGATCAGTCTATAATTTTAATGGTAGGTTTATTTGAACAGTGAGAGACAGAATAACAAACAAAAAAAATTTATGAATTGATTTGCATTTTAATGAGGGAAATAAGTATTTGACACCCTCTGCAAAACATGACTTAGTACTTGGTGGCAAAACCCTTGTTGGCAATCACAGAGGTCAGACGTTTCTTGTAGTTGGCCACCAGGTTTGCACACATCTCAGGAGGGATTTTGTCCCACTCCTCTTTGCAGATCTTCTCCAAGTCATTAAGGTTTCGAGCCTGACGTTTGGCAACTCAAACCTTCAGCTCCCTCCACAGATTTTCTATGGGATTAAGGTCTAGAGACTGGCCAGGCCACTCCAGGACCTTAATGTGCTTCTTCTTGAGCCACTCCTTTGTTGCCTTGGCCGTGTGTTTTGGGTCATTGTCATGCTGGAATACCCATCCACGACCCATTTTCAATGCCCTGGCTGAGGGAAGGAGGTTCTCACCTAAGATTTGACGGTACATGGCCCCATCCATCATCCCTTTGATGCGGTGAAGTTGTCCTGTCCCCTTAGCAGAAAAATACCCCCAAAGCATAATGTTTCCACCTTCATGTTTGACGGTGGGGATGGTGTTCTTGGGGTCATAGGCAGCATTCCTCCTCCTCCAAACATGGCGAGTTGAGTTGATGCCAAAGAGCTCCATTTTGATCTCATCTGACCACAACACTTTCACCCAGTTCTCCTCTGAATCATTCAGATGTTCATTGGCAAACTTCAGACGGGCCTGTATATGTGCTTTCTTGAGCAGGGGGACCTTGCGGGGTTAGTGTGTTACCAATTGTTTTCTTGGTGACTATGGTCCTAGCTGCCTTGAGATCATTGACAAGATCCTCCCGTGTAGTTCTGGGCTGATTCCTCACCATTCTCATGATCATTGCAACTCCACGAGGTGAGATCTTGCATGGAGCCCCAGGCCGAGGGAGATTGACAGTTATTTTTGTGTTTCTTCCATTTGTGAATAATCGCACCAACAGTTGTCACCTTCTCACCAAGCTGCTTGGCGATGGTCTTGTAGCCCATTACAGCCTTGTCTAGGTCTACAATCCTGTCCCTGACATCCTTGGAGAGGTCTTTGGTCTTGGCCATGGTGGAGAGTTTGGAATCTGATTGATTGCTTCTGTGGACAGGTGTCTTTTATATAGGTAACAAGCTGAGATTAGGAGCACTCCCTTTAAGAGTGTGCTCCTAATCTCAGCTCGTTACCTGTATAAAAGACACCTGGGAGCCAGAAATCTTTCTGATTGAGAGGGGGTCAAATACTTATTTCCCTCATTAAAATGCAAATCATTTATAACATTTTTGACATGCGTTTTTCTGGATGTTTTTGTTGTTATTCTGTCTCTCACTGTTCA